GGTAATAGCGCGCTTTACGAACGGGAAGTTTAGTCCTAATGTGATTTGCGTTTCTCAAACATCCGCTGTGTTCTTACGCAACAAAAGTACCGTTTCTGATCGAAAGAATCTATTATGAGCTATACGTTCGGTAGATTATTTTTTTTTAGTTTCCCCCAGTTTAATAGTTAGCTGTGGTTTTGCTTCAGCTTACTATTCGTTTTTTTCTGTTTTTTGCGTAAAGGCTAGTTCAGATGATGTCATCCGTTTTTATTCATCTTCACCCGTTTTTAGTGCATTTTGTACGGTCTTAGGCTTTTGGTAGCATCTATAATACAGTATTCGTCAATATAGTCATGAAAAATTCATGCAAACGACCTGGATGCCGTTTTTCTGTTACATCTGGCATGCAGTACGACAACTGCAAAGGTTAGTTCCATGAAGCGTACACAGTTCTCACAGCAACTGCTTACAACAGATTCAGCAATTCGGATCATAAGTAGGTATGTGTTACGTGCAGCACGGATGCTGTAGTTTTGCTGAGTAACATCATTGTCCTATTGACAGGTCTGCGGAATAAGTTGTCAGCCAACTTGGTAAAAGACAGTCATAAAACGGGTAGACAAGCAAGGGCGCGCAACGAAAACAAGAATGGGGATGTCGACAGGTCTACCATCGATGGAGCATGCATTGGTACTAATGATGACACGTTGAAACTCAGCACCATCACTACGTCGACGGCAATAGACTCCATCAGTAAATAAAGGTCTCCGAGCTCAGGGTCCTTGAATGCAACAGTAGTTCCCCAAAACTCTGTGGGTGATTGGAATCACGTCAACAGAGCTAAAAAGAACCTGGCATCACCGTCTAAGCTGAACATCCCAAGTGTTGTATGGAAATCACCTGGTGATCTAATCGCACAGTCTACCCCCAAGAATATCCGTCTGGTCATCAAAGAGCCTAGGATTCACAAACGTGCTTCGGCCTCCAAACAGCACGATGCTGAACCTGAACGCACTGAAAAACGTGGGAAAACAACAACGGTTCGTGATGACTCTTTCATAATCACGGACCTCAAAGACAACCCTGACATTCCTCTCAGTTTACAGGAAAGAAATGACGGGATACTTTGGGGTGAATTGAACAAGAAGCCTGAACTTGCTAGAATAGAGCCTTTTACGATCACATGGCTCACTCGGGGAAAGGAAGCTAAGCACCAAATTCACCCGAAGCTACTTAGTGTAACACTTAAGAATGCTACCGACGTACAGGATGTCTTACTAGCGAGTCATTTACTGAAGTCAGATGGGAACGTAAGAATACTGCCCGACATACCGTATTCTGAGCACAGTCTTATCCAGAACATCCCTAAAGAATCTCGCGAGAGAAATATAATTGTGCAAGGTGTACCGGAAAATACAAACCCTATTCCAGCAAACTCTGATATAAGGGAATGGAAATTCATCAAACAGTCCTTGGGGCCCAAAAACATACTGACTCAACAAGTGGTAAGACTAGCCAAGAAGGACGGTGATTCTAGACCCCGGCTGATGAGGATAACTTTCCCATCTTCCCATATGGAGGCTGCAACTCTGCGAGCATTTTGTGCCAACAGACGTCGGTTGCCGACTGGAATCCACATGCACCCAGACAGGCCATATGAAACTAGGATCAAGCATAAAGGCAAGTTGGAACTGACCACTCCATTTGTGGACTGTCTTGATGATAAAAAACGTGTAACAGACAGGGCGTACCAACTTGGCAAGCATTATATAGATAGGCTGTCTGTCCATTCACGTAAGGATCATACAGACAAACAGGAAGAATCTCACGTGTTTCAAACTGAGAGCATAAACTGCTTATACATGAATGCTGCGAGTCTACCAATCAAAATGGATGAGCTACGTGAACTAAGCAATACTTATAAGGTTCATCTGATAGGAATATCTGAAACGTGTACTTCTTAGTTTTCGGACCAGGAGCTAGCAATACCTGGGATGTCTTTGTTTCGAAGCGACAGAAAAACAGGAATTAGGGGTGGAGTATCCTTGTACATACGATCTTGCTTGGAGGTACACCAAGTCCAAAACCATGAGTTCAACAATCTTGAGGAATCAATATGATGTTCTGTAAGATTGTCTACTACTTCGAGGTGTCTAGTCGGAGTCATATATAGGAAGCCCAGTGCCGACATCGAGTACGACAGTCGTATGCTGGAAGAACTATCCCGCTCTACCCGTCTCGGTTTCACTCATATCCTGATTCAAGGGGACTTCATCTCCCTAGAGTCAATTCCGTGGAGCATACGTATATTGGAGGTGAAAACTCAACTGAAGCTCGATTCTTCAACCTCATTGAGGATTTGGGATTATACGAAAATATGAAGTCGGCAACTTGTTGGAAAAACAATCCTGGCCTATTTGGGGCAAAGCGATCACGCTGTTATAGCCTTCAGTTTTGTCAGCAAAACTGAGCCAAGATATCACACCGACAACAGGCACTGGAATTTCAAACGGTTGAACGTGTCAGCTCTACAGAACTATCTACAACAGGTGGATCGGGATGTTCGACCTCAACTTGTTGTGAATGCTCATTGGGACTTCTTACTGTGCACGCTCGTATGTGCTACTAGGCGGTCAGTTCCTCCAACGGTCCCCAAAAGCTACAAGCAACCTGCGATCATCAAGAATCGCACTCTTCGCCTGCTAAGCCGCAAAAGGCACTGTTGGGCAGAATACAAATGAGCTAACAAAAACTGCGCGTACAGGCAATATAAACATATAGGGAACATATGCACGAAGGCTATAAGCGAAGACAGGCTTCAGTGCCAGATAAAGTTTATGGATAAATTTGTCTCCGATCCGAAAACCTTATTCTATTATGCAGCCTCTCTTCATCAAGCCAAAACTGGAGTTTCTCAACTGCTAGGTCCTAACGGCCCAACCAATAACGACAGCGACGCCTCTAACCTTTTCACTGAACAATACTCCCGGACATTTCAAACGACACACATCAACTATACTGATGACTACTTCATCTGAAACTGCACAGGACTTTCTGTAGTAAACCTGAGCTCTGAATTGATGTTCCGAAACTGCAGCACCTAAGAAAAGACAGTCCTCCTGGCACAGATCTGGTCCATTCTGCCATACTGAAAGAAGCAGCCTCAATCCTGGCAACACCGCTTAGAGTAATGTTCTCACACTCGCTAAGCCGAGGCAAACTACCGGAAAATTAGAAGCTGACTCACACCACACCGATTTTCAAGGGAGGTCGACTCAGCGAACCTTCAAGTTACCAACTGGTGACTCTTCTCTTACTACCTTCAAAAATCATGGAGTCCCTGATATGCGATGGTTTACATGACTATTTACTGTCCTTAAATTTCTTCTCACCCCAACAGTATGGTTTCGGTAAGGGTTACTCTTGTATAACCAACCTTCTGATTGCGGTGGACTAATGGGCAAGCATCCCCAATCGCAAGGGAAAGGTTGATAATATTTACTTTGATTTCTCAAAACCTTTTGATAGGGTTAACCATACAGGTCTCATCAATAGGCCCAATCGATTAAGTATCAGACCACCTCTAATCGATTGGCTCACTTCATATCTGAAAAGTGGACATTTTAAAGTCAGGGTTAACTTCACTTTATCTCAGGCTATGGAATGTCCTAGTGGGGTCCCCCAAGGGTCAGCACTTGGACCTCTTTTCTTGATTTATATAAATAACCTTCCTCAACCGGTAACGTCAGACCTATTACTTTTTGCTGATGACGTGAAACTTTGGAAAGAGATACGCAACCAAGACGATATACAGGCACTTCAGGAGGATCTGAGTCGACTTCAAAGTTGGGCAGACGATAACAGACTTACCTTTAACACTTCAAAGTGTAAAGTAGCCCATCTGCGATATGTCGCAGACTACAATTACAACTTAGAAAACTCTTTTTTAGTAGTGTCTCTAGTCAAAAAAGATTTAGGAGTCCTAGTGCCCTACGATTTAAAGTCTTACTCTAACTGTGACAAAAATGCCTTTCGAGCAAACCTTGCACTGATAATGTTGAAGCGCAGTTCTGGCCAGTATGACGGAAGAACTTTCTGCGTAATCTTCAACAGTTTTATTCGTCCGCTTTTACAGTACGGAAACATAGTGTTTCCTCCCTCACTCCAAAAGGATGAGGACACTCTGGAACGTATCCAGCGATGAGCTACAAAATCAGTTCGAGGACTTAAATTTAAATATTATTAAGAGCGCCTCCAATCACTTAACCTTTATTCATTAAAGTATAGGCTTCTTAGTGGTGATCTATTTATGCCTTATAATATTCTCACCACATCTGGACATACTCTTAAACACCTACTTAAGCTTAGTTCGAACACTAACCTAAGGGGTAACAACCAGAAACTGGAGACAGAACAGAGCAAAACGGAACGTAGACATAAATTATATTCCTTAAGAGTTGTCGAATGCTGGAACTCGCTGTCGGCCGAGCTAGTCCAAGAGACTTCCCAGGAGTCCTTCAAGAGGCAACTTGACCTATTATTAAGGACCAAGGACTGCATCATACTATGATTTACCAATTTCTTTTTCCTCTTTTATTGTTAACATACCTAGGTCCCTGCCTGGAGGTATTGATGATCCCCTGCTGCTAGACACGGAAGCCTGTTAAGCGAAAGCTCCACAAACATTTGAACAATTTGAATTCCTACAATCAGGCTACGAAAAGGTGACTTTTTCAGCAACAGACTGAATACCTTTTATCAAAAGGAAGAAATACATAAGTGGGTGTTTTGGTCATCGAACTTTTACTGTTCTTACGAACAACATCAGCACAAACGTCAGGATGATATACATTTGCAATGGATGCTTCAAAGAAGCCCTTCATATGGATCCGTTTTGCAGGTGTTCTTTCAAATTCCATCAAAATTAGGTTCACATGTGTTAAATGCAGCAAGTATTTTAACAAACTTTAATGATCGTCAGTTATTGAAGCAATGGAATGTCGTCTGCAAACGCTCTTGTTTCAAATATAAGCGTTGCGTCTTTACTCAACTGGGCATTTAGGTAGTTGTTCCTTCATATCATTCTTAACTGAAGCATGTTTTCGATAAGCAAATCTCCCCATTATTTGAATTTTAACCAAAACAAAAGTATCGAACACTATTCATATTTGAATGTCTACGTCGGAAGATCCTATGTTTTTATTCAAATATGACGCATGAATAGTTTTCTCTCCATATTTCTTTACAAATGGAGTAGGACACTTGTCTTTTTCTACAGAATTCAATACATCAATGTGTTTTAGCATTTGTGAACTTTTGAAGTGCTGTGATCACATGCGAACTCTGAATTCGAGTTCATAGTTCTCTACATTATTTAAGTTATTTTGGAGTTGTCTTTCGTCAGCACTACAAAGTGGCTACTAAGTTAGTCACGATATATTCCCAATGATTTTCAAATATGACAGCAAATACTATCTTAGGGTTTTATCATCAAATTTAGTCCCACATTCAAGTAGCTAGGATATTTCACAGCGCGGCTATTTTATCAGAACATGCCTTGACGTTACTTAGTAATGTACATTAATCCCTAAACTTCCTTTTATTCTTCAAAATGCATAGTGGATTTACTTCAGGATCGAAACTATCTTCAGTGAAAGCTTGATATCAATACAATATTGATAAGGAACTGACATGGAAAAACTCAATTTCAAACCACCTAATCGCTGGTTTGTTGATGTATAATCCCTAAATATAATATGCAAAGAAAAAAGTCAATCCTTATTTCTCAGCTCAGTTTGTGATTTTCCTTCCGTTTACTTCAACGCGTTTCGTAGATTCAAGCTATTCTAAGTGAATGCTGTCCATTAAATTTCGGTGTATTCCATTTCTACTTAGTTTTTGGTGGAGTTTTGTTCTCTGAGCTCAGAGAACAAAACTCCACCAAAATCATCCACCTGAGCTACAAATCTTCTCCACCATTTCTACTTAGTTTATGTGATTCGCAACACTTTTTCTCTACGATTTGTGTTCGGTGATAGTAACTCAATTCACAAATCATACGTGTTTTGATCGTTACATGACTGATTAACTTAAATACAGACGTTATTCTTTAGGGATTACGACCTACAAAGTCTTCATGCAAACTGGATTTCTCACTAGTCAATGGATCAGGGAAGAAAAGCATAGTAGTCTCGTTCATCGCACTGAATTTGAAGCTGTAAAATAGTAGCTTGGTGTACAAACGTATAAGGGTTTGGATGAATGTGATAAGATGCAAAATACCATAGGTATGCATTTCGTTTGTTTGTTCATTAAAAGTAGCCGTGGGTGTTTTACATCGAACACAATCGTGGTACATACTTGGTATCGCGTCCTGTAAAACTGGGTTTAAGATCACTATACACTATACAAAGTTTCAGTTGTTTTCCCCGTTATTGTAAATATTGAAGTTTATTCATCAAGAATTTCACTGGTAGTGCCGCAACACAAATGAATGCTGTTAATACTTCTTTTGGTTGTTTTCATTTTAACTTCAAAACTCGCTACTTTACTCCCCATGTTTTTGTTTTGCGCTTCATCTATTTATAGCTATTGTAAAACCAATCTCTTTTGGTTGAAAAACAATCTAAACCCAACAAATGTTCACTTCACTCAACAATTCATTGGATTTGTATCTTTGATAATGATTGTTATGCTGTAAAAATGAGCTTGGTACCTCCTTCCATGTATTGGAGATTCTAAGGTTTTTCACCCTGGAAAAATGGAGGATAGTGAGTTGATTGTATAGATTAATCTTTAGAAAGTGGTAGCTATACACCAGAGAAACTTCGGCAAATATTCAACTTTCCGTTTAAGGAAAGAGAAGTGATTCGTAAGAATGGACATTTTTGAAACTCGAATCTTTGTAGATTATTTTTGTTTTCTTGTCAGTGGGAAGGAGTCACGTCCAGGTTGGATGATCCTAACTTTGAATTACTTATGCTTTTATCCTAACGTATTTGGCACCAAAATATGCACGCCCTGGATTCACATTACTGTATGTCCATGTCTTTGTTTAATCTCAGTATTATAGTCTGTCTTTCAATCACGATTGTACAAAACTTGTGTACAAACACGCAACCAAACAGTAAGTTTTGTTCAATATTTAGAGAATTAGCTGTTCTATTTCGATAAAAGTATGGTATGTTCTAATGTTGTTTATAGTTTGCTGTACTTTTTAGTTTATTCACATCTTTACTTACTGTACTTAATCAACGGTTAAGTATATATATACGTCATGTAGTGCGTAGTATTATTAGCATATTTGTATTGCTGTGTTACTTGTACTTCTCTTCTAAAGAAATATTTATTTGACAGTCATTTGAGTTGTGAGCGCCCCCTTATCTTAATAGCTCTGTTGAGGTTGAACCTAATAATTAATCATATGTAATATCAGGGCATTATCGGGTTTTAGGTTCGATGGCCCCTTCCTGTTACAAGCTCTCTTGTTAATTCTTAAAAGTATCGCGAGCTCTTTTAGAGTAAAGGACTTTAAGTATTCTACTACATATTAGTTGGCCAAATAATCATTGCAGTTGCCGAAATTTTTAAGCGGATAATATCTTTGGGTGGACTTTTGCCCTCTAAACTGGATGGTTTGGTCGTTCTTGTGAACGACATCATCAGCACAAACTTCAGGTAGAAGTGAAGTGTTCGAATTTTTTCATATATAACCCACACCTTATCCTCTCAACCTCGATCTTGGTTGGTCATTGCTAACCTTTAACCTGTCATTGTCTGCTTTATTCTGATTGTATCTCCCATTGATTTGATTCTGATTCCCATATTTGTCCATGATTTTTCTGAGTGGCTGTTAGATTGGATCGATTTCAGTATGTTTGTTGATTACCAACTGACATGAGTGCCAAGATTCTAAAGAATTCTCTGGTGCTTTTAGTATTTCCTCTACATACGATCTCAACATTTCCCCAGTCGCATGTATGTCAACAATTGTCCACATGCATCGATAGAAGCGAGGATTTGTCATGGCGTTTGACTGCTAATTGATGTTCGTGCTGGCGAAGCTGAAGGGGTCATCCACTTCTTCCAATATGATGATTTGCGCAGTTGCAACAATTTATTTTGTAAATGATATTCGGTTCTTCTTTTGTCATTTAGTCCTTTGGTTTGCATAAGATTTATTGAAGTGATTTTGCAAGGTTGTGTGCTACAACTATTCCGAACGGCTTCAATAATCTCGTTGTAGTTTCTGATGTCTTTTGTACATGGTGAGGTGGTACGTTTGTTGGTTTCCCTACTTGATTTTGGTTCTGCTGATGCGTTGGGTTGATTTTTTTGATGTTGATTAGGTAGCCGTTCTTTTGAAAGATAGTCTTAAGATATCTTGCTTCAAAAAATATGTAAATATGTATGAAAATGGCTATTTTCTCCAAAAATATTGTTTAGTATACTCATTGTTGTCATAAACATTACAATAGTGAGCTTCAAAACCAAAATACTTCCGATATAGACAAATTATAATTAGCTATCAATCTGCATGTTAGTAACTACGTGATGGAGTGTCGTCCCCATTTGTGCTCCGGTCCATTTTTCGTCAAGTATATTTTACTACTGTCTTATTTCTGTTTTGGTCTTTTTTGTCCATCAAAGGGAAATCTTTGTTTGCAGGCGAATATAGAGTCACTATATGACTGACTGTAGTAACAATTTTAACTTTAAAAAAAATAATATTTACTTTGATCTGGATTTTACCCAATAATCTGGATTCAAGTCATTCTTTTCCCAAAGTATTTTCTGCCTTGTGTTTTTCTATAGGATATATTCCATATTTCGTGATTAATGTACACTGATTGAGTCACACTAACAAACTTAAATAATACTGCCTTGATAATTATAAAGCTTTCAGAAGTAATGCTTCATTAGATAGCTAGAGAAAACCCACGAAACAACAACAAATACCAAATAAAAGTGTGACATTAAAGGAACGAGATACTGTACAACAAATTACTTAAAATTTGTTCGCGCCAACTATTCAATGATCTCATCTTTTAAATATTTTTCAGTATCGCTTTGTTATCCCAGCAGGTTCCGACGAAGCACTTCATATGATTTTACAATTGGCTAATTATGGTGTTAGACAGTAGGTTGACCGTTTAAATTTATAATGAGTATATCTAGATAAACGTTTTATTGTTCTGGTTCTTTTTCATTTTTTTATTTCATTTCTGTGTTTTAGTTTGTCCTCAGTATAATCCACCATGAGGAATAATAGATTAGCTTATTATCGTAATAGTTGATCTATGGTCTTTCGAAATCTTAAGTGTTACTTCATTGTTTCAGACTTTTGTAGATTGGCGAGTGCTCATATATTGTTAGTGGCCAACATATTAATGTGATACAGCCATAATGATAAAGAAAAGGGTCTAGAAGTCCAACCAATTAGTTCTTTATTTTCAAAGCAAGTTATTACACACAGTTCTGAAACACCATTTTACATGTACGTATTTCAAACATACCATGCACCCTCAAGTTTTTGTTCAGGATATTCAGGAGATGTGGCATTTTTGTGTGATAAAAATCTACATATATGCTGTAGATTGATCAGAGAACTCATAAACTATTATTCAGTGCCAGAGAGGTTGACAAAAACGAACTACCTGTCAAATTACATCGAAAATCTGGATGTGGGTGGTAAAGTTTGGTGTTGTTCATAGATACCACTGATTATATTCACCTGATCACAATCCTCTATTAACTACTATATAGTTGTCTAATTTCGATTACGGCGTCTCTAGTGATACATTTTACTTGTTTGTTACTGCTATTGAGTTCAGATACTGCGAAAACGTCTTTCGATCGATAGTACGAAATACAATGATGCTGTTATAAATATTAGGTAGTAGTCGATAAACGACACCAAAAAGATAAGAAATGGTGATAGATTGGAGAGAGTTTTGTGTTATTCAGAGCATATGGGAGTGTGTGGCTTCTTAGTTGATAATCTTATCAAAATACTGAAGAGGAAGTTTGGTGTTTGTTCTTCAACCCCTTAAATGACAGGTGAACTGACTGGATCATTTAGCTGATGTATTTATTGCTGCCCTAACGTGAACTGGAAAAAGTGTTATTACCATTAGTTTGCTTAAACAATCTATATGCAAACTCCCACATATTGTCTAATGGATAAGTGATTAATACTACGTGGTTTGCACTGGTTATTTTTCGCTCATTTGCCTGAATTTAGTTGCAATAACTAAATCAACTTGAAGTAATGATAGAGCAAATCTGACTTATTCTGATCAATGCAACAGACTTATTTGAATCACATTACGTACGATAAACTACACACTTGCCTAGGCTAGTAAATGAAATACAATTCAATTTTAACAACCCTAGACTACTAAATCATAGCTAAAGTTTTTCTCAAGTCAGGTTGATCTTGTCACTCGTATTTTTTGTTCCGAAAAAATACTCAGTTTTTTCTGCTTTCTAAATTCATCAGGCTCTTGGTCGATGACTGTTATACAAGTTGGTCGCAGTTCGACTTGCACCTAAAAATGTAAGCGATTTATTTATGTTTCTGTCTACGTTGCATCATTAATGAAGGGGTTTTCTAATTCACAAATTTGCTTAACGTCCTTTATATATTTACCTTGGATCTGTTGTGTAGTTTCCATGAGGCGTACTTTATTACTGAAACACCTTACATCTCGAACACTGCCCATGAATACACAGTCAGTCAGTCAGTCAGTAACAACGTAGAACTTCGTACGTACGTACATCAGTTTGAGTTGCCATACCACATTAGCACAGAGATGCAGTTGTCGATTCAAATCCCGTAGTGGTAGAGGCGGTAAGAGTATAAGCAGTAATCAAGAAAATTAGTGTTTGGAGATGTTACTTAAAGGGTATAATACAGTGAAATAAATTTGAGAAGAGAAAAAAAAGGAGGAATAAGGAGATCAAATTTTGGGAGAACACAAAGAGTGGATGCACCTGCGCCATTGCAAACGATTTCGAGCCATGTCATTCAGGGTCTCTGACCATCGGTTGCTATCATCTCGCGGTCCACAACCACGTAGTCTACACCTACCAACATGGCTCAGTCCACTTGTCAGTGACTTCATGGACTTGTGCCATGTTTTGGTCTGGCCGCCCCTAGCTTTCTTCCAACCTACTCCTATACCACTGAACATCGCACGTCGAGACAGTCGGTGGTTGGGCATACGTAACACGTGTCCCAGCCATCTCAACTGATGAATTTTCACTACTTCGTCAATTGATTTGCTATCCTTACCTAGTACCCGTTTCCTAATAACTGCATTACTTACTCGATGATCCCAGGATATACGAGCAATATTTCGAAGACACCTATGATCAAATACTAGTAACCTACGAATATCCTCTACTCTTACCGGCCATGTTTCACTGCCATAAAGTAGGACGGAACGAACTGCTGCGCGGTAAACCCGTCCTTTGGCTGATAGACGGATATCTCGCCTACGCCATAAATGACGCAAGTTGGTAAAAGCTAGTCGAGCCTTCTGTATCCGTGCTGAGATTTCGTCACACACCAAACCACAAGGGCTGATGAGACTTCCAAGATAAGTGAAGCGGTCGACACGCTCAACTACTTCACTCCCTATCATTAGTTCGGGTGATGAACATACTTTAGCTTTTACGAAATCATATAACTCTGAAACTCGCTTGTTAAAACTGATTGTAATAAATTACAAAATGAGTTTTCCAGATATCAATTTTATGTGAATATTTGTTTATTGCTAGTTTGATTACTATGTCTCCCTCTTAAACGATTTCTATTATGCATGTAATTTTATAAGTTACGATTTGTGCGGATATTAGTAATTACTTGAAGTTATTTCAGTATAGGATGGTGAAGATAAGTTCAAGCTTACTTTTCAAGATGAATCCAAGTATCTTCAGTTCTTCAAGTACGCTTTGATGTTTTCATCAACACTGCATATCCGCTGTTTCAGGAACTGTATTGCAACTCAAAGTTCCAGGTATTCTATTAGATATGTGGGTCGGGAATGCTACTTCTGAGATGCGAGTTCAGTGATTAGTCTGTTGTAAAATGGTATTGTTACTTCTGCTCTAATATGATGTTCCATCTACCCATCTTAAAGACTCAACCATATTGTATTGGCCACGACATATGTTCGATGAAGTCTTATAATGCTAAGAAAGTGGATTAGGAAAATAGCATAACTGGATATGGATAACGAATATTCACAAATTCGGCCTATTCTTGATTCTTATAAACATAAGGTTAGGTTCGAAAATGTCTTTCCCAAAGTTAGTACACGTTAATATTAAGTGAATCCGGTTGACCGTAAACAAATATTCACAAGGAAGCTCTATGTGACTGGTTTTTAGCTGTGCTGAACTTTCAATAAATATGACTACCTGAATGATGTAATGTGTACGAATTAGTTTTCAATTTATAATCACTTAAAGTTAAAAGTCCTGTGTTCGAATCTCGAACTGAACATTAAAACCGGAATGCAAGTACGTTTGACTAATGAGACGTGCTTCCTGTATTCTACTGCTATCCACAATTCAACTTTGATAAGTTAGAAAAATACAACAGAACTTCTCAACTTTTCAATAATTTCTTAAGTATAGTATTCAGGTGAAAAATTCTTTGAAATTTCTATCTTAACTAAGCCAAAGTAACAAGTGCTAAATTTTATCATTTTCTCATCAAATCACTTAGTCACAAGTATCTATGTTCCCTCTTTCTTTTTTATCAGTTTACTTACTCAGAACTCGTCCAATTTACTGGATAAGTTGGATGTACTAATCCGTAGTCAACATTTTCAAGATTCGTTTCATTTACCTGCATATGAAATTATAGAAACTTCTTTTGATTGTAAACTGCAACGGTTGGATAATACTGAAAGTATTTCTGGGAAAATGTTTTTATCTCCTCAATTTATTTGTTACTGTTCGTCGGTTAGTTTATTTATTTGTTCAGTGAATTTTCAATTGATTAGACTTTTTGTAATGATTTGGAACAGTGTAATTACCTGAATCAAATAGTGATTCCTGATACTGATACAACTGTCTACCATGACTGTGGAATAGCTACTACCTGCTACCTACTATTGACTACAATGGAACAAGACACAAGGAAAAAAACTGCAGAAGACTGTTGTATTCATTAGTTGATAACTAAACGACATTCATAATAATAATAACTGACATATCATTTCAAATGTTCAATCAACTGTAAATTTGAATGAATTATGCTAGCAGTTAATCAATGGTCTAATGTGAATATCATCATTTGCAAAATTGAGAAACCAGCTGACTTGACTGAAAAGTGTAATCTATCACTGAATTATGTATTTGTTTCCTCTTTGACACTTATTATACTCTAAACAATGATGCTATATTGCCTACAATGATAAAGAGATTAGGTCAATATCTGTGTGATCTGTTTTAGTTCATTCCCGTTTTTTGTAAAAATGCTGGCATTCGTAATTCATTTTGACGTGATAAATTGTGGACTTCTTATAAAGTTTTAGCTGATTTATTTTCGTGAATAGGCACTAGAGAAATAATTATTATAAACCACTGTATACTAAGAATTTGCTTTTAATCTCTTATTACAGAACTCATCAGCAGTTTTTAACCATGGCATCCTTTCTAGATTAGATCTCAAACTGTCTAACTCCTTGAAAGATATTGGCCTTTAAAATACAAATTCATATTTGAAAAACCGAATAGATTGAAACTTGTACCAACTCATTGTTTGGTTAATCATATCTTTGGATGACATGTGTGTTGCTTTCACTAAAGAATACGTAGTTGATGCTAGAAATCACAAGGGATTTCTGGATAGCATGAAACAACTTTCTTATACCTCCTAAGTTTTACTAATTGTTCAACTTTTATCACTATTTGTTGGCATCACTTACAGAAATATAGCTAATAAAATCCCCTCCCTATAAAAAGTTATGTCTTCCAATTTACTCTTGGAATATTTCTTATCGTCCAAATGTTTGATAGGTTATTAGTAGAAATTTATGTTCATGACTAAGAAATTTGTAACCCCTGAATAATCCAACTGATACATAGTTACAGTAATCAAAAGAACATGAATATTAGATTTAAGAGAAAGCTATGTCTGTTTTTTCAACTGTGATTGCAATACCGTGCTATTCACATTGTTACTATTTTATAGCTCTTTAGCTTTATGTTGTTTTACCTATCAATCATGATGTTAAAACATATTGCAATTATTTCCTCAGTACTTTATATTAATGGAGTTCGAACATTATAAGTCTTTTTGTCTGTTTGTGATAAACTACAGTCAATTTAATTCGATAAGTATATTATTAGAGCGTTTTGGCTTATTCATTACTTAAAAGGACCTGGGGGGGGGTTATAACATATGGCTAGTTGGTATCACGAGTTTCTAGGTAAACAAATGTTGGAGAAGATTTGTAGCTCAGATGGATGATTTTGACGGAGTTTTGTTCTCTGAGCTGGATGGTTTGGTCGTGGAGCTTTCATCGTTCTTCTGAACAACATCATCACCACAAACTTCAGATAGAAGTAAACAAATGTTCTACATTTTTCTGAATATATTCAAGAAGTGTTTTTTTTTCACTCATATTTTCTTCTATGCATTCTAATATCAGTCTTTAGCAAATGTAAATTTTAGTTCATGTTTTTAGTAACTGTTGTATTGTTATAATTTAAAATGTACAGGGTGAAAGCACTAAGATTATTCTTCCTCTACGTGAAATAATTTCAGCCGAAGAATTTCCACAAAGGGATTCAACTTCCACAGGAGGAGTCATCATAATAACAGCTGATAAAGTTAGTTACTGTTTAATTGTTAATGTAAATGGTGATTTTCTGGCGTCCTGATCAATGAGATAGCACTCAATAGTTTGTATACACCCATTCACTTGCAACAAAGACCATTACGACGTCAATTTTTGTCTCCTGTTATAAGCTTTTTGAAGATGGTTCTCACTATGAACTGATATCGCCTAGAAATTCATTAAAATCTATGACCCCAATGTCTTACTGACTAACATGTTATACTGATGCTAAAACCGATGCTACACTAAATAAAATGTTATATTGTGAATAAAAACAATGTCTGACTGTTGCACTGCACCCTAACTTATCACTTTCCTAATTGTGGCTTTTCACTACTGTCGGTCATAATGACTTTCTCTTTGTCTTTCTGGCCGGTAATTTCCCATTCGTCTCTTTTGGTGGAAAATATAACAATTCTGATTAATTCACATTCATGGTAGTTGATTTGTTTATTTCTGTCTATCGAACCACCTTAAAATCGAAACAGTTTCTCAGAACAGTATGAAATTAATCTGGTCACGTTCCATAAATGATTGATGATGATAGGGTTGGTCGATTCATATCTTGCACTGATTTTAAATACACTTGGAAGGTTTATTTGAGATATTATTGTACCTGATACTTTTCAGCACTTAATTTAAATTTATAAAACCAAACAAAACGAATCTTAGGGCACACTATCACAATACTGTTTTCCGGGACCTATTTGTCCAGTCTATAAAATACCTGTCCACAGAACTGCATGTCTTACTCATTCAGTTGAGGCTGTATAACGTAGATATTTTACGCTGCTGTTTGGGAGAAATGACTGTATGTAGATAAAGTTTCAAAAGTAACGGTATAGATTTTTCTCATTACCTCATGTTCAGTTTATCGGGGTACTTTGGTTACGTCTATATTTGGACGACTTTATAATGTTTCTAGCTGATAAAGGAATTTCTACTATTTGACTTCAGACTGTAAAGTCTCAAATCCGGGCTATTTATTAATTTGAATACAAGGGGACTCCAAGTAAATTTACGCCACACTATAGCAATGAGGCCAGCAGTAGTTATCATTGATTTGTGTGAGAGCTGTGATACTTCCCGGGCGTACGAACTCTTCTCCACCTACCTGGGTTTGGAGATCTGTATCGTTTCATTAGATCTCACACAAACAGTGTGAAGCACATAAATATATACTTATCAAGTACTTTTCACTGAACGAATTAGAACCATTTTAAGTTTTTTTAAAACGAGAAACTTGTTTTTTGGTTAAAGAACTCTGTTCTCACCCAACAGATTTAAATTCCATTTCCTTTTTCTGGTAACTGATTAGTATCATTAGTTGTTACACGATAAATGCTGCTTAAGACCAAACATCTTCATTTGATCACTGAGTAATATTCATGATTTTTTAATCAACCCAGGTGCAGTAGTGACTTATCGGTCAGGGTGTCCGAATTTGAACCACTAGAGTTTAGTTCCAAACTCTACTTCGGTTTAGGAAACAGGGTGGTATCATTAGCCCTTTCATCTAAGGTGTGGCCCTATATTCAGTCAGTCAGTCAGCTACAACGTAGGACCAGGCACATATGTGCATCGGTCCAAGTTGCCACACCTCATTAGCACGGCAAGATAAACACCAAATTCATAGGAGAAGTTAAGTCAATGGTGTAATATATAATGGAAAGATTGCATATAAGGATATAGCACAGGAAAAAAAGTTATTTCGTAGAAAGAAAGATATGAAATAATTTTAGTCTCATAGTTTAAGGGAAGACAGAGAGTGTGTACACCGACGCCATTGTGATCGATTCTGAGCCATGTCACCAAGAGTCTCTAACCATTGGTTACGACGGTCACGTGGACCCCAACCAAGTAGTCTGTATCTACCAACATGGCTCAGACCAGAAGTTATTGACTTCAAGTACTGATGCCACGTTTTGTTTTGGCCACCCCTAACTTTCCTCCAAGTATCTGGTAAACCCATGAGTTAATTATTAATTAATGAGTCATAAATTTTTATGTTTAATAAGTCTCGTTTAAATTATCTTTACTGTCTTCTTTTAGCTTGTTTATATATTTACTGGTATTGTCGGATCCGAGGATATTCTAAAGAAAATTTGCAATAATTTGGAAGTATCAAGAGGGTAGGCATTATTTGTGTAGTTTTTTTGTGTCACAATTAAAAGCATTTAGCTACTGGCTTGTACAATGATGTGAATTCTAATTCATGTAGATACTAGTCGTTTGGATCGTTCCATTGATCAGTCTCGTTTAGTAGTATAAGATTATATCTTGATGAAGTTGTATTAATTCTTACTAACCACAATATTGCAGAACCTTGTTATCCTAACAGTATTCATACACAGTTGAAACAACACCACGAAGCAATGGATTTATAGTTCTTAGTTTCAGAATTTCAAAACTATGCTTGTCAAATTTCTCTTATTTTACGCTTTCATAATCATCTCTTATCACTAGAATACAGTTTATTAGATAACATTGTTTAAACATTTAGTAATTTATAATTTTGCGCAATTATTATACAGTTCAGTCAATGGTTTTATTCACTTTTTCTCTTGGTCTCAAATGCGTACGTTCATAAGTCATAGTTCTTTTTAAGTAGGGATTTTCTTTCTGTTTTCGACTGACTCTTGGATAGTAAGATCATCGTTTCAATTCAGAGGTTTTTTAGTTTGAAAATATTTTTTCAGCAGAAAATTACAAAAAATGTCTGGTAAAAATGTGCTGATAGGGTAAAAAGAAAAAGGCGTTTATTGAAATTTAATACATTTAAGTTATCTTAATACTTAACATAAGGCATTTCTTATGAAAACCTAATTATTATATTATTTTAACAAGTTTGCAGTTATATTTGTTTAAATAGAGTGTACAATCAGTTTGTAATGTGCACTTGAGTTTGTGTTTTATTCTTAGTTATAAACTCAGCAGGCCTTGAAATATCTTACGTTTTTTTAACTGTACTTCATTTTAACCTGACTGGTAAATGAATCCGTTCAAGTCGTATCAGTTGAGCTAGCTGACCCTGAAGAAATCGATAGACGAAAAAAAACTAAACAAAGAAAAAATCATCAATAGCAGTAAGCTAAGATAAACAAAACAAAAAAAGAAAGGAAGACTGATAAAAATGACGAATCAGAGCTATCAGATATTGTTTACTTACCTCCTGAAGTCTAAAGAATCAATGTGCAGACTACATGGCTTTATGCTGCAGCTGGGAAGCTTATAAATTTTCAGAGGCTCGTAAATGACCTTGATAGGGTAAAGACGATTTTTACTCAAGAAAACAGGTGATATAAATAACTAATTTCTTACATGAAATCCAATAAGGACTGAGAGTTCTGTCAGAGATTTTGGGTTAAGAGTTTCATTCGGATTTAGGATTAGGAGTTTCAGTTAGACTTAAAAATTGGAATATAGTGATAGTTGTTAGGAGCAATTATAAGAAATCGAGTAGACAAGTGCTTTGTAAGCCGTATGAATAAATACTTATGTAGTTAGTTCCTTGATTTTTAGTAACAATAAACTTTGAGTTAAAGCTATAGGTTACAATCCCTATTCTTTATTCCTCTTATATTTACCGATGTTAATTAATTTAATAGCCCTAATACTGATAGAATTTACCTAAATTTCATTCAGACACAAGCTATCTGTCATAGCGCCTTGAATTTCGTACGAAATTGAGTAGTCCACTACTATCTCACCGGTTAATCTTCATAATGTATTTTATCTACTATTTTTATGAATCATAATAGTTGTTTGCTTTTATTCATTTCAGCACTAAATCTGAACCTTCAGATGTCATAACTTCAATAGCAAGTTCGTTTAACGATAGTCTAACAGTTATTAGTTCATCAAATACTACTAGTCAGTTAAATTTTTCAAGTAAGTTGTGAATGATTAACCTGGACACTTTGTATTTATGGTTTATAATAAACCATATATCTTAAACGACAACTAACACTTTACTATAGTAGTTAGTACTAGCTCTAAGTTCATCATTCAAATAGTAAAGTATCTAATCAGTGAATTTATTCACTGTCGCTTTTTGGCCTATATTTTGTTCTGTTTTATGATAAGTAGTCAGTCAAATAATTTACAGTTAGTTTTGTAATGAACTTGTTATAATATTTTCAGTTGGTTGTTGACATTTATCATACTTGGTAAATTTAAGTGTATTTTGATAATCCGCCTTAAATAATTCATCATTGCTTAGATTACATTAGCCATTGATATTCAATTTTTGGGTAGTAATTAACAAACAAAGAATTTAGTGATAATGTTGCGCTTAACCTTGGTATAAACATTTATGCTACTTTACTTATATGGATTTATTAATACTTAACAAGCTACTTATAGTCGATTAGTACATTAAATAAAACTTACAATAATTCGATTTGAAATATGATTAGTTTCAAATTCACGATTAAATGGCTTTCTGGACTTAGAAGCTAAGTGAACAACGCGATGCCATTTTAAGCGTACACTGCTGAGTTCAAGTCCTGGAGTGAACATCAATTCTGGAATACAGGTACAGTCAGTCAATTACAACGTAGGACCAGGCACATATGTGCATCGGTCCAAGTTGCCACACCTCATTAGCACAGCAAGATAAACACCAAATTCATAGAAGTAGTTAAATCAATGGTGTAATATATAATGGAAAGATTGCATATAAGGATATAGTACAGGAAGAAAGGATTAGTTCATAGAAAGATATGAAACGATTTTAATCTCTTAGTTTAAGGGAAGACAGAGAGTGTGTACACCGACGCCATTGTGATCGATTCTGAGCCATGTCACCAAGAGTCTCTAACCATTGGTTACGACGGTCACGTGGACCCCAACCAAGTAGTCTGTATCTACCAACATGGCTCAGACCAGAAGTTATTGACTTCAAGTACTGATGCCACGTTTTGGTTTGGCCGTCTCTAACTTTCTTCCAACCATCCCCAAAACCAGTTAGCATTGCGCGTCATGGTAGTCGGTGTTCAGGCATACGTAACACGTGGCCCAACCATCTCATTCGATGAAGATTCACAACCTCATCAACTGATTTACCATCATTCCCTAATACCCTGTGTCTAACCTCACTATTACTTACCCGGTGATCCCAGAATATGCGAGCAATATTTCTAAGGCATCTGTGGTCAAATACTAGTAACTTACGAGTATCTTCTACTCTTAATGGTCACGTTTCGCAGCCTTAAAGTAGGACGGAACGAACTGCTGCGCAGTGAACACGTCGTTTGGTTGGTAGACGGATATCTCGCCTTCGCCATAGGTGACGTAAGTTGGCAAAGGCCGGACGAGCTTTTAGAACCCGTGCTGAGATTTCGTCAGACACCAACCCATTAGGGCTGATGAGACTTCCAAGATAAATGAAGTTGTCAACACGTTCGACTACTTCACTCCCTATCCTTAGTTCAGGTGTTAACGCAGACCAGTCCTGAAGCAACAACTTGCGTTTAGAGGGAGAGAAGCGCATTCCAAACATCCTGGCATTGTTGCTCAGTGCTAACAGAAGACTCTGCATTTTGTCAGCGTCTTCACCAAACAGGACTGTGCCATCTGCGTATTCTAAGTCGATAAGTGGGCCTCCTGGGAGGAACTCAACACCCGAGAATTCAGTCGACGAGAATGTTATTTCCAGCAGTAGGTCTATGATGAAGTTAAACAAAAATGGAGAAAGTGGACAGCCTTGATGGACACCACTTGAGGTTGCAAAAGCAGATGACAGTTCGCCATAAGCTCTGACTTGACTAGTAGTGTTCGAGTAAAGAGCCTTTACAAGGTTTATGTACTTCTATGGTACGCCTTTCAGTGACAGACACTGCCACAGAATCTCGCGATCTACAGAGTCAAATGCTGCTTTTAAGTCGAGAAAGACCACCACTGTCGGGCGCCAATAAGTATGCCTGTGTTCTAGAATCTGACGAATGGTGAATATGTGGTCAATGCAGCCACGACCAGGTCTGAAGCCAGCCTGATTTTCATGTGTTTGCAGTTCACGAGTCTTAGTTAATCTCCTGATAATTATTGAGGCCAGCATTTTATATGCTATATTAGTTAAACTAATCCCTCTATGGTTGTCACTGGACGATTTTGATCTCTTCTTATACAGGTACATCCAACTAAGAAGTCCCTCGTATAGGACGAAACGCTTGTCCTCGATTTCACTACTAGTCATATTCCATCTATTCTTTACTGATTATAAATAAGAAGTTTAAAGGACAAGTTTTTCAAAATTTCTATTGGTCAGTACACTTTACAACAAATAAAGTTTTTAATTTTCGGGTTATCTTTGACTAAGCATTCGGCAAACTCACTAGTACTCAGTAATTTTGTACTACAAAAAATTAGGATGGAGGGCGGTACGATCATTTTAAGAAATGACTTTTGACGATTATCTACGAAAGTTTATACATGATATCGTCACAAATCTATATATAACTTGATAGCTGAACTGCCAGTCACATTATCTCTTATTTAAGTTCTATCAAGTCATCACGTTTAATTAATATTAAACACTTTTCCGTTGTATGCAGTGATATATGGTCTGAAATATTGATCCTCTTAAAGGGACTTGTAATCACAATTATACTGTGAAGAACTACAGTTTTATTGACATATGTTAATTGAAACAGTTATTCAAAATATATGATCAGGTGATATTTTGTAGTGAATTATACCAATCAATAAGTTTATGCGCATATAGCTTTTGTTGTGATAACCTGGATTTACTGATCATTTTATAAGATTAGGGTATGTTAGCTACAATCGATTTTAAGTTTATGGCTATCCTCGTTATTTGTGTTCTATCATTACAAACATAAATATTCTAAAATCTCTTATCATGGGTTCATATAAATGAAAATTTGCAGAACTCTATTGCTTTATGTGTTTGTTGATAGCAGTTTTTACTTTTAGTGAACAGTAAACTTATCCTATCACATTGCTTAACATGTATATAGAATGGTTACCAGTGATCAAGTTAATTCAGAAAGGAATGTAACATTTAGATGTAAAATGAAGCGAATAAATTATTCGATAAGATATAGTTCATAAACTGTTTAATAAAACATTTGTCACAAAGATTATAAATGTTCATTTATATTTATTTGTTTAGTGTCAAACAATTAAAGATTATCTCTACATAGTTGTTAACTTAGGTTCCGTACCTATTAGCATAATGTAGTTTTCATTCACCATTGAATAATCCGATATTTTTTTTTGGAGTTCCAGTTTAATACGTTTAGCAATAACTATTCTATTCAAACTACATGTAACTTATGTTTGGAATATATATATAAACAACCAATATTATGTTCTGCACTTGAAATCGTGTTCTTTTCAAAAAGTGTTTAGTGCCTTCTTCATTTTAAGTTGTTGCTGTTATTTTTTGAATCCTCCTTTTTCATTGAACTATTATCTTTGTGTTTGTCAATTAGATGGATCCGGATGCTTCGCTAGTCGTTATTCTTATAATAATCCTTTCAGCGTAGATAATCCTGATGCTGAAAATAAACGTTTAGATGATTGGAAGGAATATTTTGAAGAGTTTGGGTCTGGCATGTCAATGTATCGGAATGAACGTCTTAAACACCTTGTTTTAAATGGATTACCTGAAGGAAAACGAGGAATTTTATGGATGATTTTAAGTGGAGCTGAAAATGAGGTAACAAAGTTTACAAATTTTTCTAAACTCCTACCCTCTTATTTAATGAATGTCATTTAGTCATTTTAGACTCTTATTTTTATACTTGTTATTAAGTTAATGTGACTGTATGGTGTTGCTGGCGTTTCGATAAAATTTCTTATATGTGTGTGGACACCTATACGTATGGAAATGTAATCAAGCCATATGATCAAGTATGATGATACACTAATCCATATTGTTGAACAGATCGTTAAGAAACCGTACCTTTCAGTTTATAGGGGGTTTCCGTTACCTAATAGATTACTTGTTTAGGTAAAAGTACATGTGTTACAACATGTCATATAGCATTTATTTATTCATTTTCATATCTCGAACTGTCTTTACAATGAAATACTATAAACTGAGCAAGAAATTGACATTTATTAAGTCTTTTCTAGCAGTTAAAAACTCCACCTGTAGCTCTTATAGGGTTACTGCCGGTCCCAAGCCCGGGTAAAGGAAAAGTGTTGAGCATGTAGTTAGCGACCCCATTCCCGTAGAAAACTAACTCGCTCAAAGAACGCTTACCAGAAAAAAATAATTCAAACCATTTTAACTCTGCCCTGGGAGTTAGAAGGTCTTCATTTAGGAGAACTATGAGGCCTCATGATGGAAGCCAAGTTCCTTCGGAAGCCACGAGGCCGATGCCCCTTCTAACAACCAGAGCAAAACTTTTTGTAGGTACATGAAACGTCCGAACAATGTGGGAGACCGGGAAGACCAGTCAAATAGCAACGGAAATGAGGAGATACAGTTTGGCAGTACTGGGAATCAGCGAAACCCACTGGACCCAAGCTGGACAGAAAAGGCTAGCTACGGGAGAGATGCTGATATACTCCGGTCACGAAAAGGACAATGCTCCACACACTCAGGGAGTCGCTCTTATGCTGTCCAAAGTAGCACGAAATGCACTTGTAGGATGGGAATCTCATGGATCCAGAATCATCAAAGCATCATTCAAAACAAAGAAGGAGGGGATCTTAATGAATATTATCCAATGTTATGCACCCACCAATGATAGCAACGACGAAATTAAAGATCAGTTCTACGAGCGGCTGCAGTCAATCATTGAGAAATGCCCAAGAAAGGACCTAACTATTCTGATGGGAGATCTAAATGCCAAAGTCGGAATAGACAACACCGGATATGAAGATATTATGGGACGACATGGACTGGGAGAAAGAAACGAAAATGGAGAAAGATTTGCAAATCTATGTGCATTCAACAAATTGGTCATAGGAGGCACAATATTTCCACACAAACGTATACACAAGGCTACATGGATCTCACCGGACCACACTACAAAGAACCAGATAGATCATATTTGCATCAACAAAAAAATTCGAAGGACAATGGAAGATGTGAGAACCAGGAGAGGTTCTGACATAGCTTTAGATCACCACCTAGTTGTGGCCAATTTAAAACTGAAGCTAAAGAAGAACTGGACAACTGGACAAACAGCACTACAAAGCTTCAATACAGCCTTCCTTCGAGACACTGACAAACTCAATGAATTCAAGATAGCTCTCAACAACAGGTTCCAAGCCTTACAGGATCTACTGAAAAAGAAGAAACAACGGTGGAGGACAACTGGAAAAGTATCAAAGAAGCATTAACTTCAACGTGTCAAGAGGTTCTGGGTCTAAAGAAGCACCGTCATAAGGAATGGATCTCTATAGAAACACTGGACAAGATCAAAGAAAGGAAGGACAAGAAGACAGCAATTAACAACAGCCGAACACGAGCAGAAAACGTCCAAGCACGAGCTGAATACATAGAAGCAAACAAGCAAGTGAAGAAAATCATTAGAGAAAGAAATACGTGGAAGAACTAGCAACGACGGCAGAAAAAGCTGCTGGAGAAGGAAATATGAAACAGCTTCACGATACAACGAAGAAACTATCAGGGAAATACAGTAAACCAGAGAGGTCGGTCAAAGACAAAGAAGGAAGGCCAATCACTGAAATTCAACAACAGCGGAACAGATGGGTAGAATACTTCGAGGAACTCCTGAATAGGCCGGCTCCAATGAATCCACCGGACATCGAAGCAGCACACATAGATCTTCCTATAGATGTCAATCCACCAACTACGGAAGAAATTAGAATGGCCGTCAGACAAATCAAGAACGGGAAAGCAGCAGGACCCGACAACATACCAGCTGAAACACTGAAATCAGACATCGAAGCAACCACAAGTATGCTTTATCTTCTATTCAAAAAGATTTGGGAGGAGGAACAAGTGCCGATGGACTGGAAAGAAGGACACCTCGTCAAGATTCCAAAGAAAGGAGATCTGAGCAAATGTGACAACTACAGAGGCATTACACTACTGTCAATACCAGGGAAAGTCTTCAACAGAGTGTTGCTGAACCAGATGAAAGATGCAGTAGACGCCCAACTTCGAGATCACCAAGCTGGATTCCGTAGGATCGGTCGTGCACAGGCTTAATTGCGACACTACAGATCATCGTCGAACAATCAATTGAGTGAAACTCGTCACTGTACATCAAGTCCATTGATTATGAAAAGGCATTCGACAGTGTAGATAGGAGGACATTATGGAAACTTCTTCGACACTACGGAGTTCCTGAGAAGATTGTCAATATTATCCGGAACTCATACGACGGACTACAATGCAAAGTCGTGCATGAAGGACAACTGACAGATGCATTCTAAGTAAGGACCGGAGTCAGACAAGGCTGCTTAATCTCGCCCTTCCTCTTTCTTCTGGTGGTCGACTGGATTATGAGGACCTCCTTTTTTCACTGGAAGTGCGGAATATAGTGGACAGGTTGAATGCAACTATACGATTAAGACTTCGCAGATGAACCGGCCCTTTTATCCTATACACACAAACAAATGCAGATGAAGACAACTAGTGTAGCAGCAGCCTTTGGATCAGTCGGCCTCAACATACACAAGAGAAAAGCGAAATCCTCAAATACAACACGGAGAACGCCAACACAATCACACTTGATGGAGAAGCTCTGGAAGATGTGAAATCTTTCACGTACTTGGGAAGTATCATCGATGAACAAGGAGGATCGGATGTAGACGTAAAGGCGAGGATTGGCAAAGCAAGGGCCGCATTAGTACAATTGAAGAACATATGGAACTCAAAACAACTGCCAACCAATATCAAAGTGAGAATCTTCAATACCAACGTCAAGGCAGTTCTACTTTATGGAGGTGAAACTTGGAGAACTACAACAACCACCATCAAGAAGGTACAAGTATTTACAAATGGTTGTCCACGCAAAATACTCAACATCCATTGGCCGGATACCATCAGCAACAGCCTTCTCTGGGAGAGAACAAACCAGCTGAAGAAGAAATTAGGAAAAGACGATGGAAATGGATAGGACACACATTACGTAAATCATCAAACTGCATCACGAGACAAGTCCTAACTTGGAATCCTGAAGGGGAGCGGAAAAGAGGAAAGCCTAAGAACACATTACGTCGGATAATAGAAGCAGATATGAAAAGGATGAATAACAACTGGACGGAGCTGGAAAGGATTGCCCAGGACAGGGTTGGATGGAGAATGCTGGTGAGCGGTCTATGCTCCTTCACGAGGAGTAACAGGCGTAAGTAAGTAAGCAGTTAAAACATAAGGTAAACAGATCAGTAGTGAAATTAACATTTGCTTTTTTTGTTTGTTTGAAAAAATAATTCTTCTTGTTGAAAAAAGTAAGTATATTTTTATTGTAGTTATGTTCCTGGATAATAGTTGCTTTAAATAGTTGTCTACTAATTCGAACTTAACGTATCCACTTCTTTATGTTATGAAACATGTGCATACTATCAGTCTGTCATCTTGAATATTTTAGTTAAGAACATTTCATTTCACAAGTGAAATTTTATTATCGGGAGCACAATAAACATTTTTATTAAACGCTATACTATTTACTATAAAATTAACAGTGGAATCTGTTATTTATTCATTTAAAAAAATCATACCAGTTTTACCTCTCAATCTCTTTCCACTTATTTATAAGTCACTTAAAATTTTCTCATGTGAATTTTTTTTTTTCGTTTGAGTTACTCAATATACATTAAAGTATTCTTAAAACGTTTTCAAGTGATTATTAGTAGTGATTAAGTACTTAAAATAGAGCGAAAAATAAATAAGTAGTTCTCTATGAAATACCATGTCAACATATGTATTTCACATGTTTATTCAGATAAAAATGGAATAACTACTTCTTCTTCTTCTTCCTACATGTGTGCTTATTATCTTTTATTTATAAAAAAGAGAAGTAATCGTATCATTGTTCTTCACTATCGATCACATGACGAAAATCGTTTTAATTCTTATTAATACTCTCCTTGGGAAATAAACTTTTTGGTTAATGTAGAGTTTTCAACTGACGCTACAGACCGACATTACTTAGACAGCCATTGAAAACTAGGAAGCACTGGACAGGAGTCTTATCCTATTATGGAACTATTCAGCAATGTGTATACATGGCTCTACTGGGGATCGAACACAGGGTCTTCAGGTCTCTCAGCAAGCACTTAAACTTTAGATCATAGAGCCGGCATCCAATTTTTTTTACGTTTCTTATCTCAGCCCATTCATCCTATTGCTCGGAAATCTTTCAGTGCCGTTGGTGAGCGACTGCTTCACATTCAAAATGGTTGAACTCCACTAGTCACGTCTTCCCACTAGAACTTTTGGAATTATCTCGCTACTGTTCACATGAGTCATTAGTATATAGGTTTAAGAAGACTTAATATTTTGACTACTTTGATATTCATATTTTTAATTCCCTGTTTCATCTCATCGAATGATGCGAAATATGATAACTTTGATCAATAGACAACCCTATATTATTTTGGTTAACTAAATAGCATATCGCATTGATTAATCTAAACACTTGGAGAGCATTAAGATCATTAGATACTTCCAATATAAAGCAGGGTTTGTTGAAATAAGCGGTAGGCTTTACCAATTGTTTGAATCTATGCTTATCAATGGAGCGCTTGATTCGAAGGCGTTCAGAATATGCAGTTTTTTTAAAAGTTGATTTAATTCCGCACATAATTATCTCATATATTATTTGTCTGTAATTATATTTCATAGATGTTTGCCAATCCAGGCTATTACGATAAATTAATCAACGGTGTTCAAGGATGCAATAATTTTGTCAATGAAGAAATTGAACGAGATTTACACCGTTCATTCCCGGAACATCCTGCGTATCATACACCAGAGGGTATTCAGTCTCTTCGACGAGTTCTTACTGCGTATGCTTATCGTAATCCTAATGTTGGTAGGTTGGTTTGTTTGTCGACGAAAGCGATGTTTTTTTTTGAAAAAAAAAAAACATTTTCGTTGGCTAGTTAGTAATTTCGTACTAAGTGTTTATTATTCAATATAATCCAATATTTAATTAGTATACTTATTTACTAATATTTTGTTCTGTTTTGAGAGTTGATATCTCCACGTAGAAACCACTGGTACAACATCGGATGTAACGTCGTGTGTCTTATATATGATAACTGTTCAGTCATACCAACCTCCTCACACAGCGATAAAAGATCATACTGACTTTTGCGAATGTCTTTTTATGCTTTAACTAAAGGAAGTAGACTGATCGAATTAAACAATACAGACAGCCTCGAAACGACCAACCAGCTTAAAAATGTCAGTCGTTGAAATGAAGCGACATTTTCAGAGCACAATCGCAGATCACCTATTATAGGGAACCATGTTTCTGATGAGATTCCGTATTCTGGCTAGTTTGAATGATGGTATCATCGTTCACTTACAAAACTTTGTACTAAAGAGAAATACTATCTTATGTAACTATGGGCACCAAATGACATACAGAGAAGGTATGAATAACAGAGACAACGTTATTTTACGGGGTGGCGTATGTTGAGATAAAAGTCTATTAGAGGTGACAAGTTTTGGCTAAACCAGTAACAGTCTATTCTTTTAATGATTAAATAGATTACAGGAACACATGTAGCCACTGCTTCATTGATGATAGTCACTTACTTAACCTGAATTCTGATTATTAAGGTTAAGATGCTAAAATTAGAGTTCTAAACCTAGCAAGTTAAGATATTAGGATTAGACAGTCATCCTATAATTTATTGAACAACCTTGAGTGATTCTTAAGTGACTTTTAGCAACTTCAACCACTTACTAGGATTGTGAATCAGTGTGAGGAACTAGAGTTCGGATTTTCATCACAACCTGAGATCAGCTATAATGCCAAAATGCTATTTAACTATTTAAGCAAATGACATTCGCTCAAAAATCCGTGTCCCTATCCTAAATTTAATTGGCCTATCCATAATTTATAATTTCATCAAACAGACATGAACCAACAGGATGAAAGACTAATTAGACGTCTTATAGCTAACACCAAGGACCAATCAATACACGACAGTAGTAATTTACAATACAGTAGTGTTTTAAGAGCAATCCTCAACAGCTCAAAATGTAGTTGTTTGGCACAAATGATTCTCATCAATATTTCTCGATCTCTTCTTAAACTCCATAAAGGAGATCGAAGTTAATGGTGATAAAGTCATGAAAAAAACTTTCGTACTGAATAACTTTAGAGTATTTAATACTCACCATTTAACAATGATTAATGTTCTGATAGTCCATATCTTGTTTATGTTTCAAATAAACTTCCCGATTTTAGTTAGATTTCAAGAAATATTGAACAGTTTCGTTTCATTCTAAAACCGATCAATAATAATCATTTTGTCTTTTACTATATGCGTTTGATCGTAGTAAGGCGTTTTTGGGCACGAAAAATAAAGTATTACAACAATTAATATTTTAACCGTAAATACTTTAAAAAAGTATATGAAAATAAGTTTTTGATTTGTTCTATTCCTCCAGCTTGTTCCACCATCCGATATGTGTATTAGATAACGTACTGTGACTTGTCTGTATAGCCTTTTGAATTTATGAATTTCAACTCGGTTATATCCTGTTTCCCTAAATGACATACCTGGAAGAAAATATAAATCACTTTTAACGATATCACCACTTGAGGTGTGCAATATTTATGGTAAACGTATAATCTACTGATAACCTTGGACGCCTTATCAGCCAATCAGGAAACGCCTAATTATAAAACAATTAACAATGAAAACCAGTGGAATAACAGCTTTGATTTGAATAATTAGCCCTCACATGTCAAATTATTCCTTGTATTAAAGGAAAATCCCAAGTTTGCATATAAGTAGTCGAGCTACTGTTGTGTATTGGGGTTATCACTGCATAGAGTTTTCATTATCACATGACATCGGTTATAACGTAAAAGAATAAGATTAGGTATCAAGAATGAGGTTGAAGTTTTGAGTTGGGTTTACAAATTGGGGTTGGTGTTTTCATCACAAACTTACATCAGTTTTAATTCCATGCTTTGCCACCCTTTTGTTTACAAACTTAGGGTTGTGATTGACAATAAGAGTGAGAATATCATATAGCTTCACTAAGCAATCTCGATTATACATTAAGCACTTTGGCGCACAATCCACCTTAGGCGCATCTATGCTGTGTCATTTAGGTTAAACGATATCTTGACGTTTTGGTTGCGCAAGAAATATTTTTATTGACTTCGATCATTTTAAGAATCAATTATTGTCAACTTTCATCTATTTAATAACATCATGCAAGTTGTCTATCACTGCCCTTTGAATTTCTTGCAAAATCGATGACGAGTTATCGTAATTTGGATCGTTTAACTCAAGGATGTTCGCATATCATACTTTTACCACATTTATTGTCAGTTTTAAGCCCTAATTAAAAGTATATAAGAATATTATGTAGTTAACATACATAAGTAGATATTTAAGATAAATCAGAAATAGGTAAATGTACCTCAATATCTACATAGTTACAAAGGGAGGTGATTTAGAGATTTATGGAGACCTCTATTGCGCACAACTAAATATTAGATCGTGTATCTAAATAACAAAACGTCTTCTGTCTATAATTTATTAAATCTAACCGGAATCACTTATCTTTTCAACTTCAAGTAATTTGAAATGCTTGATACACAATATTAAAAGTATAATTAATTGTTAAGCTAATTCTTTATAATAGGCTGTATTTATGTCTTATTATTTATTAAGAGTTTTTCACTGTATAAATTGCACAATATGATTTTGTTAAAAATCATCATTATTAGTACAATACGAAAAATAAAATACTTTAATTCTTATAAATTATTTTTCAGGATACTGTCAATCAATGAATATAGTAGCCAGTGTTTTATTACTGTATTGTACAGAAGAACAATCATTTTGGTTATTGACAGCAATCTGTGAACGTTTACTACCTGATTACTATGATAGTCGTGTTGCTGGTGTACGCGTTGATCAACAAGTACTTCATGCTTTAGTCGTTGAATATATTCCAGAATTAAAATCAGTTTTACAAATTCCAGTACAAGATAGTTTGAAAAATATTGTCACTTCTGAATATAATATTGAATCAATGGTTGGCGGTTTTTCAACAGCTTCCAATCATCATTATATGTGTCAGTCATTAGGCTCAGAATTAATCAGTATGCTACCATTAAGCTGGTTCTTGACGTTGTTTTTAAAGTAAGTATCGTTTACAGTTAATATTTGTTAGATTATTCTGAAGTTCTATTCTCTGATTGAAGTAGAGCATTCGTTTAGCTTTCATTATCTCTCTAGACAAGATCAATAGCGCAAACTTCAAACAGGAGTGAGTTATTCGAAAATCTCTATATGCAACTAACAACTTGTTCCATTAACCTTCAATTTAATTGTTTGTTAGATAGATACTTGTTCTGTCACCTAATTGTTTTTGCTGGCCTCCCGCTTTCTGGGGTTTGATGGAAAGAGAACCTTTCTGATTAAACTATTCAACTAAATGAGCTGGAATAGTTCCTTTTCATTAATACCATTCTTAATCAATATGATAAGCTTTCATGAGATAATATTAACTATTTTACACTACTAATTATTTTCATTTCTCTTCAATATATTTGGAAAGTATAATTAGACCATGTGGTCATTGTTATATCCTTATGTGCTGTTAATATATTATATGACAAAATCGCCAATTAGAACACGGCTTATTTGACATTGACACTGAGCCCAAACCAATGACGCGTAAATCTGTACGAGCAGCTTAGAGTCAACTCTGAGTTCTTACTGGTCCTCTGAGATAGTGGCTTCTCATCTAATTCAGCCAGTTCAGTCCAGAACACCAATATTAGCCTCTGCTATATGAATCATGTATTTTAGACATATGCAGTTTATATACAAGCCAATCAGACCGCATCTTACCATAACTCCTAACAGTTGCCATTTATTTATTCTTCGTTAAAATATAACAATCATGATGATAGTTGTTCCTAGTTCTCATATGGTTTTTGAATTTCTAATAAGCATCAAATATAACTTGAGCTATACTATTTTTGTGAATTGAAGGTCATCGTTTAATTTCAAACTTAAACCTGTAAATAACTATTTTTACTTGTTTGTCTTTTTCCCGCCATGTTTAAAACTATAACTGACTAGTCTCTGTTACCATGTATACATACTGAGAGGATTGCCTTGAAATTACCGTTCAGTCACAAGTTGCTTTTTGAAGTCAAATAGTGGTTAGTAGCAAAATCCTGAACGCACGTTTCGTTGTATTTAGGACTTTTTAGTATCAGCACTTGGATGCAAGTACATTTAGCCAACGTATCTCAAATAAGAATGAGCTCATATCCTAGATCTCATTGCTAGTCACTATCTAACTTTAATAAAAATTATTTATTTTTGACGTTTTCTTTTAAATATATTTTCTTATTTCTATATTAGTTTTTTTCTGACCAACTTCCATTTTACTGATTTTTTCTTTCGTTAGTACTATGTCCTTTCATTGTGCTGTTTACGTTTTGGATTTTTTCTTTTATGGTGGAGCTCGTGTAAGTTATTTGTTTAATGTTTACTACAGTAATACTTGTTAAATATCATTTGTCATCTTCTCAAAGCCTCTAGTTTTGTTTCCTTATAGTGGTGTCAATGTTCTAGGTTTATTTTTCTCATATTCTAGGGTTTAATACTATGTTCTTATATGTTACGGTAGTTCTAAACAATAACCAACCAATGCTATATGAATCGTCATCCATCAAATGCCACAATTGAATTGATGATTGCTTATTCTTGATGAAGAGATTTTTTGGAGATTTGTCCAATTACTTGGTGGTATATTTCACAGATTGAATTCAGTTAGGGTAGCATCAAAAATCAGGGAACACTGTACTACTATTTCTTCCTAGTATAGAACTTTTCATCAGTGTGAACTCACAACTTTTACAACGATCGAGCTCAGGACCTTCAAGTCTTGTTGGCAGAGCTTTATCTTCGTAACACTCAGCTGAAACTCAATGGACATTCATTCTGCCTTTAGTTAATTCGCTATGTAGCTCACTCAGTAGATAAATGCCATAAATTCCACATAGCAATTGATTTTGTTTATCAGAGTCGAAATTTATAGTCTATACACAGACTGGAATAAATCTCAGAAATCATGATTTTGCTAGAATCTAATGTGTACTCATAAGGGAACATCAAATTATGTAAACATCAAACTTTTCACGAAGAGTGATGGGATTCTTATGACAGAAAAAACCCAGTCATTAATTGAAAGTATAGTGTATTTAATATCTCAGGTCAATTAGACTTGTGACTACAATGCAACGTGATCGGTAGAATAGACAGACATAGTATTGGTTAACAATCAATATTGTATTAGCTTCACATGATCCAAAGAGAAAATGAATTCCTTTAGATTTATCACTAAGTAATACATTTAATAATTAGGTCTTATATAGTTATTATCTGCTAACAATTGATATCATATAAAGTATTCCCTTGTTTTCATTTAGTGTAATAACTGGATTCGACTATTTGGTTAATTAATATGAAAAATATCGTTGATTTCTTTAGTTAACATCACTCTGTTCAGTAGTTTTGTGTTATAACAAATATACAATCGATATTCATTTATACTCTTCAAAGTATTTCCGTTTGTTTTATGTATATTTTAGTGTTCATTTTGTTATTGTTTCTGGTGTTTCTTTCACTTCTCTCACTACTCACTAGGTTATTTTCCAAATAGCATTAGATGTACTTCGTCAGCATACATCGTTTATCAAGAAGTCTGTTGAACAAAACGATGACAGTAGTGTTTTAACTAAACTGAATGCATATTTTAATAAATTACGTCATCAAGATCATACATCAAATGAATCTATATATAATCTGTTGACTTCAGCTGATCGGAATTTTAATATTACAAATGAACTTATCGATCAGATGCGTTTACAATATAGACCTAAAGTAATTCAATCACTTAGTGATTACACGTCTAAAGAAGTTGCAAGAAGTTTAGATCGTGAATGTCCTGGGGATCTGATCTTGCTTTTTGAATGTTACAGAGTAAGTTCCTTCAGGAGAATAATAGTAACAATTTTTAACTTTTAATAAAGTGTACATAATTCGCGCGTGCAGGATCGTGGATGCGCACTGTTGAAGAATCCCATATTAGGACGAAACGGCCGTTCAGTGCTTCTCAGTTTCCATCGCCTTATGATTTCATTGGAATTGGCATTAAATATTAAACAACTATGGTATCTTAAAACGGAGCACGATGTGAAAGTACACTTAATTCGACTGCAAAAATCTTATACTAAAAGCGCATTGCAAAATCAAAGTATATGTTAACCTACGTAATGAAAAAAATTGACGTTTTACTTTTCAGTCAACAGTTGTGTAAGCTTAATGATTTATTCTAAGTTATATCGTTGCGCTTCAGTGATTTACTTGTTTGGCTGCTTATAACAGTTAGTTAAAAATTCATATCTTATGTAATTCTGTTTATCTGCCTTGATGTTTTGTAACTGTCGCACAACTAGCTCAGTAAATTGAGCTATCCCCCTGTTGTCGGCCTGCATATAAATCGAATATTTCATTGATCATTATCTTTTTGGAACCAAAAGATGAACTTTGTGTTAGAACATTTACATTCTGTCGTCAGTATTTCTTTGTTCATGATGGTATTTTGATTATAATTATGTGAATTTTTTCTCGATTAAAATGAAATCTACACGTTACTTTATAGTAGTACTACTGCTTACTAGTAATGAGTAGTATGGTATGGCATACCGAAAGGCGATTGTAAAAGAAATGATGTTATAGCTTTCTGTCGGCAACTTCCAACCACCCCATAAAATTCTTAATTGCTTTAACTTTAAATGATATTCCACATGAACATTTATGATGTCTTTTAATAGTTGACAACAATACATCTTGATTTAGTTTTATGCCAATGTTTTACATATTTATTCAGCAACGCGTATTACGTTATTGTAGCATTTATATCATAAATAAACATATAAAGGTACTTCCTGTTTTTTTCGAGAAAAATCACCTTGATAATAATTCTATTTTGTAGGACCATTATATTCTTTCGAAATATGAGCGAATCCATCAAATAGCGCCAGCTAAAACTCATAGTGAAACAAATAATCCAAATCGTCCAGCTTATGATGTTCATCGTATTGACGCACGTCAATTTAATAGTCTATTTCAGGGATTAGTTCCATGGGGTGCTGCAGCTGAACGTTTAGGCCTTCCATGCTTTCATCTACTAGATCAAGATGAAGATAATCTAATTAACTTTAAGGTGAGAAATTGGAAAAATGTGTATATGAATTTATCTGACGAAGATGAGATAAGTAAATTTGAATTATCCTTTAATTAGTATTTTTGATAAAACTATACTCTCTTCTGATGGCCTTATGTCATTTTACAGTTGAGATTGCGATTACCTAATTAGAATATAGCTTTTGGGAAAATCGAACGTAATAAAGCTAACTGTATAGAAATTTTTCTATGAATCATAGTGCCATACTAAGAAATCATATAGAACTTATGAAGGCTCTCTACTCAGACACTGTTTGTTCGGCCAGGGCTTATGAGGAACTGTCACTATAATTATCAACTTCAAGCTGTATTCGTCATGGTTGTCCACTTGCTCTTTTTTATTTAATCCCATCATATATGTCCTAAATATGACATTTCACCCCTCCAGTTTTTCAGGCGTTCATTTCCTACCAAGTGGTTCACTTACCAACTTAGAGTACGTTTATAAAATGCAAAGTCATCTGGCCTGTTTGAGAAACAATCCATGCATGTTTGACTCACTTCTCATCTAAATCCAAAATGTTGCTTCAGGTCTGATGTACATCAGTGCCCAGACTAACGATGGTGAAGGAGGTAGTTGAGTGCACTTAACCACTTCACTTATTTAGGGATTTTCACCAACTATGGTGTGATTGTATCCGACGAAATCCGGCCATGAATTCAGAAGGCTCAGTTGGTGTTTGCCAACCTGCATCACTTGTAACGTAGGCGAGATATCTGTCTACCTACCAAAGGGGTTTTTTACTTTGTAGCTGCTTCCTTTATATTACTTCATGACTATGAAATATGGACCTTGAAAGCGATGTGTAGGCTATAGCATATTGGAGTTTGACACTTTTGTAATTATCAGTAACGAGATTTGTGGAGATTGTAACATTTTAACAGTTGAATTCACTTTTGTATTTGTTCAATCTTCGTAGATAAATAATTGACAAATATTCTAGCGTTTTCTAACATTTAACGATAAATGTAAGAGATTCTTCATTAGTTCCAGTGTTTTTTTAGAAAAGATTCTTTGTCTTACTTTATTATGGCCTCATCAGTTATGTGGTGGGTTATATATTTCTTGTTTATGTGTTGCGCTGTGTCCGATTCTGATACTGATACTCAATTTTCCTATACACGAATGTATACATATATATATCCTTTAGGAACGCAATTCATTCCTTGAACAGCTATGTGCACTTATAGTTTGGATGATTTCTTACTAATCCAATATATTAGTTTTTCACTTAGTTACTTTGTTTTTCAGGCGACGTATGTCTAACTTTTTCAATTTCCCCTTTTCTATGTGTTTAGAGTTTTGTTTGGTTAATGGAAAGTATATGTGGTCATGATTTAAATACAAAACTACGTTTATTATTCTTATTACATCGATCTCCTTACTGGGTTACATCTGAACAAGGAAATGAATCCAAGTGCAATATACTAGGTGGTATGCTGCCATTCAACAATATTGAAAGTTGTAAAAAAGATAGTAATAATTCTATTTCTTGTGATACAAGTATTGACAGTTATCATATTTGTTCTAAATCAGATTTCGATACAGTAGAGATCGGTACAGATATTATTGCTGAGGAGTCTATAGAACAACACCACACAGCTGATAATGAAAATGATGAATTTTCAAAAAGTCATGTTTCCGGATATACTTTAGAAATTGCACATGAAATTCCAATTGTTATTCCTGATCCTTTAGGCTTCATCAGCAATAAATACAGTTCAAAAGATATAAGTGAACAGATTTCACTGAATTATAATCAGTTTCAATGTTTAACAGAGGTAAGAGATCATTCTCGAACTTTCAAAGTTTCAACCGTTCACTTTGTGTGCTAACGTATAAGAAATGTAGTTGAAGTTTGATTGTCTCATATGTTTTTTTAAACAAGGAGCTCAGGTTATTTTTTTGGTGTGTGGTGACGATATATGGTTATCATAAAGAAAATAATTTGGAAAAGTACAGTCTAATGATTTCTAGTGTGTACTTTTATCAATACGTGTCAAGTATTATTATGAAGACTTTTTTTGTAAAAAAAAAATCAGCGATGACTGTAAATTCTTTTTATATGAATGCGAAAAGTTGTTTGGTTTGGAATTGTTGTTATGATTATGAGTATTTGAATTATAGTACAAACTGAGAATCTTAGAAATAACGCAATTTAACCAAGGAGTGTTAGATGAGCACGAACAGACGTATTGTATTTGGAATTCGAAATCATAGTCAACAAGCACAAAGGAATCATTAGTTCATACAAGCACCATAGTTATCCATGAAATAGAGAAACAATGCTAAGTTTTTTCGGTTCTTTTTAGAATCTCAATGCGTTTGTTAGATTGAATGTACGCCTTCATAGAAGATGACACTCTCTTTCCTCTATTGAAGACTCAAAAATGATCAATAAACGGAGGAACATTTTCTCAAATTCTATGGATATTGAAACCTTGAAACGGTGTACGTACGTACCAGGTTCTACGTTGTGACTGACTGAGAATTTTCTTGGTCAACTATTGACAAGAATATTTTGATTGTACATCTACAATCAACCCAGTATTCAATCAGTAAAACACTGATTTAAATCACTGACTATTTTATCGGGGTTTTCGTAGACAATAAGATCTGTAGACAAAGTGTGTATACCTCATAATGAACTAATGAAATTTCACTCTGAAATATGTTTTAAGTCTTACTAATTTCGGACGGGTTTTTGTGGAGATTGTAGTAATTTCAATGGTTAAGATCATGACTCAGTTGAAGCTAGACCACCATGGAAAACCTGAAAGCACTGGACGGCCGTTCCGTCCTATTGTGTGACTCCTCAGCAGTGCGCGTCCACGATCCCGCTCGCGGGACTCGAACCCAGGGCCGTCCAGTGCTTCCAGGTTTTCCATAGTGGTCTAGCTTCAACTGACTCATGATCTTACTAATTTGTTTATTCTTCATGTTCACAACATTCTAATGTGTATTTCAAGTTTCCTTTTTTATCACTGATATTTTTAGACAATACGAGTAATCGTAGAAAGTGTAGACGAAGATAAAGAAGAAATGTTGGATTCTGTCAATTGTTTATTCCTTGAATTGTTCACACAAGAATTACAAAATATTGAACGGCTTAATAATTATACTTCGACCAGTTCAACTGACAACGTTAGTATGCATGGCACGGAATATAACGACGGACGTCCTAGTGTTGAAAGTATGATTCAGTCATTTTGGAGATTGAAATTATGTGATTTTCAGAAAGCTTTCTGGAAACAGGTATTGTTACGCAACCATTTCTCCAAAGAACTATCTATTGAAAGACAATGCTCTAAGTTTCGGGATTGGCTTTATTGTGGCTAAAATGGTATATCCCTCAACTATTTGACTGCTTTGGTTCCCTTCTGTGTTCTAAAGTCTCATTATCATTGTATTTCAATATTTCATCCCTCCACTTCCGTACAGTGGTGTTAATTCTGTACAAGTTTATAGATGTCTTTTTCTGTCTTGTTTTCATATTTTTGGTAAAGAATTTATTTATTCACTGTGTAACTATAATTTCTATTGTTTTTAGATAGTATCGTTGCATAATTTTGTGGCTTCCCTGTTTTTTTTAAATCAATATCCCTCCCCCTCCTTTCAACCCGGTAATATTGATCGCCCTAAATGATTTGATCTTTTTATAAATGAAAACTTCATTTGGCAAAAATAAGTCTTTCCAAAATAAATTTATTGTCTCTTTTACCAATGGTAATAACTAATGCTTCATGATCACATATTGTCACAGTAAGTGACAATATCTCAGTTCTTTTGTTTTCCTTATTTTAATTGTTCAACATATGATCTGATTAGCTCCCGTTAACTTCCTTGTTATTTGTTGCACTCTGATTTTGTTGTCACAGGTGTTTTCTTTGCTGACTTTTTAAAAAATAATATCGTAAATGTTACAAATTTCTCGAATCTCATTCAGAAATACTTTAAATAAAATTGATACAGTAGAGTTTCGTTTTTATTAACTTGATGGTTAGTAAACATACAATTCAGTTAGCCCTAATTTTTCATGTACTCAGGCGATTGATATATTTCTTTGGGGATTCAAATAAACTTAGTAGAAAAAGAATATTCTCTTTCTTTTCATCAGTGAACGCATAATATTTTATATTCACTTCCATCTGCTTTGTCACTTACAGGCCAAAACTGAATATAAATTCATTGGCTGTCAAAATGACCAGTACAAACATGTGCGACCCACCTCTTTAGGGTCCAAAGGATCATTGGAACTAATAACTGAGGGTGTTATGTGGTATAGCTTGGAATCGGACGTAATGACGTCCGTACACTTACGCTTCCTCATTTTTTATTTCTTGAGTTTCAAAATTATTGTACACTTTCAAATACATGAACTCATTCTCCTTTCTCAAATAATTACTTCCGTGGTTAAAACTTTCTAATAATGTTACTTGTAATTCTACTACTCAGGGTTTTTTCTCGGTAATTTTACCTCACAGTGCTAATGGCAGCACGAGTTGATGTACCTGTGCGCGTGTTAACACGTATAACTGGCTGAAAAACAACTAATGTCAAGGAATCTACAATAAGTTACTAACATGCTCATCAGCGTGTGGTAATGAATCTCCTCAAAATAGTCACAGGCCCTATGTGGAGGCGGTTTATTCATACAGGCTCATATACATTCATGCATTTCCATCCCTTAGAAAAGATGCTATTAAATTAGTAGATCATGTCATTCTTCGCGGTCGGTACTAAGTGGGCTCTGAGTTTTCTATTATGGTACGAATCATAGTGTTCTGTAAATCCTTCAGGCTCAAACAGACACGTAGGTAAACTGATTCATGTTTCTTTTAGGAAATTAGGCCATCATATTTACATTGGCTATCAAACCACTAAATCCTCCAGATTCAGAAAGCCGTTTCGACACCTTAATTTTTCACTCATTAGTACGTCTAAACATATTACACCTAACAAAGTGCAGTATCATTCTTTACTTCTCAGCAGACCTATGGTAATTAGTATTCGATACGTCTGTCACAAGCTTGTGAAAGTCAGTCGATCTCTTTAAAATCGCTCCTCGTCCTCTAATGGGTAGTGGTCTAGTCTCTCGACCGCACTAATTCTAGTCAGTCTGGTAGTTGTTCATATGTTTGCACATTTTAAAATCTGGGTGTGTTGGTCTCAGGACAGTAAGGCTTCTGAATAGCGGTAGCTATCTCGTTACCAGGCAGGGAGTTTATTGATTGCAGAGAGAAATGAGTAAGTCGGCCAAATAATTAGTAATGCAGTGTTGGGGACGTTAGGTCCCCAGAGCTCACTTGAGAAAGGACCCAATTTTGTAAGTTTTTTTAGAAAATTTTAATTTCTTTGTTTTCGCGCCAAAGGTGCTCTTGTCACCTTCATGTCGTATTTCCCACTGGGAAGTATCTTAACTGCTATTGGTCCGTTGCGTCTCTTAGTATGCTATTTGATAACTCTCCCCAAGGAGAGTTGTTGTTGCTCGTTTCTGGCTGTTTGTAGGATATGATTCCCCATTCCAAGCATGAAATTATCCCTCTAGTTAGCGGGGCTCGGACGCATCAATAGCTAGCTTACTGGTCTTTGGTCACCGAGTCTTGTTTCTCGTTCGCAGATTAAGTGAGGGCTTGTTAGCTTCAACTTTAGGTCCACTCCTGTTCTGGGACTTTGTTCATTAACTTTTAGATAAACTGAGATCAGCGGCACTAATCTATGTAGGCACTGCAAAGGTCTGGAGGTCTATTAAAATTGAAAAGAATTCAAAAGTACTTCACAACATAAGGATCGATAGTAGACAACGTATTAAAACTCATTCAGTCAAAATGTCATGTCATGAACTTTCTGCCCTATTTGGCACAAAGCACTTAAACCTGTAGTGACTCACATTTATCACGAGAACACGGCTGGTTCAATGAAAACAATTATTATTATAACCAACTGTATCAGTGCTTGTTTTAATAGGCTTTTGTTTAACTGCGCTAAATACAGCCATTGTTGTGCTTCGATTATCTTCCATCATTGTTCCGCGGTCTCACTCGGTCGGAATGCTCTCTTAACTGAAGTAAACACGGCCCCACTAGTGGATAACATTAAGAGGAGACCTGAAAACATGTACAGACCCAGTGATTACCATCTCCACCTTGATACGACTGTGCCTGATGCATGTTACATAATTTGTCTACTTTTACGATGCATTATTGACACTTCGAAGGATGATATGTGCCGTCGATATTATAATGGTGTCCGATGTACATTTCATACTTTCTGATATACATTTCTAAGTACCAATCCTGAGACCATTTAACCAGTTTGTGTATTTAAACACGCAAATCAAGATGATCAGCCTCTCCACATATCGTTCTCCAGAATTTGATACCATCTGACAACTTAAGTAGTCAAATTCGTAGAGCTGAAAAATGGAGGACATACTATGATGCCTTGGATTACATCTATTTTAACCGGTTTTCATTCAGGTAATATCTAGTTTTCCTACACCCTCGGTTTTTAACATTTTAATCACTTTCGTATGGCACCTCTTATTTCAATGTGCGAGAGTTTCAGTATTCATGTTCGTGAGAAGCCTTATCGAATGCTTTGCTAGAATCTGTGAATATCACAAAGACAGAAGGACCGTTAAATTAAGCTTAAAGATGCCCTCATTACTTAGGGTCTAACAACATTTTTGTCCGTAACACATTTATAACCGAAAGATACTAATCCAGTCAGATCAGAAGTAATATCGAAGTATCTGTCACAGCTACAATGAATGGCACTAATTTGTCCACTCAAGCTTCTGGTTCATAGAATTTATTTCTTAGGCTGCGAGCATCGGTATATAAAACGCCGTGAAAGAATGGCCTATCTACACATGCATTGGTAGCATTCGCTTCCAAGACTCGACTATTCGAACACCCACTAAACGGAGATTCTCCTCACCGTTTTGTTGACGGGTTTCTAGTTCAGTTATATATTCAAGAAACATATCAGGCCTTACTTGGGTGTTACTACGAGCGCTACTCAACAGAAGATCACTTTGCTTCTCCAACCCTAGGATTACCTTAACCCAAATTATCTTAAAAGTAACATGACAACCAACATCGAGATGCGACAGCCAAGAAATCAATTAGCTTATGTGTACCATTCAAACATTAGAGGACTTTTATGTGCCTCAAAGGTGTTTTGAGAACTGAAGGGTTGTGAGGAGCATTAAGTGAAGCTATCTGGAAGATAGAAGTGAGCTGACGACTCGAGAAGGACATAGAATTCACTTATACTTGATAATGAGAGGAACAGACAGCAGTTTAAATAACACAGTAGCGAGATTAAGAAAATCTGGTTATCGAAGCTAGAAGTTGATATTGTAAGGTTTCGAATCCGTTACATATCCGAGCTCGTCATGAAAATATTATACATTGAAAGTCGTGTTCAAGGACAAGCGACTTTTCAAACGTGGGTTGAACTGTTTCGTGATCCACCTGTTTCTGCTTTTCATATGAGTTAATTCTGGTATGTGACAATTATTCAAATGATGGCGATTCATCTACTACGCAATTTCATCATCTCATTTGCGTCCTTATGAAATTGGTTGATCACTGGGTTTGACATTCTGAATCCTTTGTATGAATCCAAAATTAGTTTTGTAGCTCACTACAAACACTTGGCCGCTTTTCCGCCTATCTAAATAATACATCATGGTAGATTTGCGGCATATCTTTGAATTTGGTCTTCGTATCTAGCGTAAGTAGTCATTTTACCAACCACCAATACTCAACAAACTGGGAAGTTGTAGCTTCCTATGTCTGGTGTTAAGACGTTGATCGAGTACAAGTGTCGTTAACTTGATGTTTACAGTTCATCATTATGGCCAACTGACTGTTGGTATCAAATATAAATTATTCAGTAAGACTAATATATGGACGACCTTTAAGCTACCCTAAAGAGTCCTTGAGAATTCCCACCTGCATATTACGGCTAAATGAGGGTTATAAACCAGCGTGAGGAATTAGGATCGGTATTTACAGTTGATGACTAGGGTTAAGAATCAGATATGGAGTTTTCATCACGAACTGACAACATCTATAATGCCAAAACTCAAGACCTGTTGTCGTTAATCTGATTGGTCCACCCATAAGTCATAGTTTCGATGCTTGCGTGAAAACTACCATATTTAATGGTGTATAGTTGATACGTTTGTGCACGAATTTACTACTGTCCAACTCCAACGTCAACAAGTTGAATGCAACCATTAATATATTCTTTCCTGTCCTTTTAACTAAAGTGAGTAGTTAAGATTCTATATAGAAGCTTTCTTGATAGATACCCTGTGATAATCAAGTTTAAATTTAGGTTAGCTAGTTATCGATTATAACATTTATAACATACGGACTTGAAAATTTGCTCTAAGTACAAATCATAGTGAACAACTCACCGAAAGCTCTTTAATTAATGTGGGAGCGTTGGGATTCCACCTTACATTCATGTTGACTTGGTGTCGATCTTCTCTCCCATAAGTTATATTTGAGGATTTCACATCCCCAACAGAAGCACTGCCAAATTATGAGATGCAATTGCGTCTGGCAACTCCTTCAATTGCTGACTGTGAAATGTTAAATTATTGTGTTGTTAAATTACTCTACAAATAAACTCTTCCTTGTTATCTTTCTTACCCCAAATACATGAGGTGTACGTAGCATCATTGGAATACAAAAATACCAACGACTTCGATGCGTGGTGGCTAAAGTATACTATCTGATCAAGTAGTGCTTCAACAAAGTCAGTTGTATCATTTCTTTTTATTTTATCATAAAATGTATGCAAGACTACTAGTTTCTGTAACTTTTATCCTTTTTATCAAATACGTACTTACTTTGATCGATTGCACACCTGTTAACAATAATTTTTCATTACATTAAATCTAACTCTAGTAGGGAATGGTGCTAATCGTGAATAATCCTACTATTTCACCAA